GGGAGAGACCGTGTCTCCCGGCTGGCCTTCCCGGGAAGAACTGGAAGAAGTGGCTGGGGAGAGGGAGGTCCGGGCTTCCCCCCTAAAGCCCTCGCGACCCCACCCTGGATAGGCGGTAGAAAATGGATGGATGTTTGTCGGCGTTCTCGCTCGCGGCGACTGGCAACAGGGTGTGCGCATGAGCACGCGCGTCATGTTTCAGTCAATAAAAAGCCCGTAGCCAAATGTCACCGGTGAGGGATCCGACGTCGCTCTCGCAAACTCACCAGCGCCGGTTTTGACATTGAATTTCATACCACATTAAGCATTTTGTCCTCTGTGACCAAAAAGTCATCAACTTTTTCACTTTGGCCTTGCGCTGTTTTGACAGATTAAAGGATAGCGTCGCTTTTTATCACGCCGCTCCGCCTCGCGACTTCCATCGACGGCGTCGAGCGTGCGCACACAAAATAAATCATGAAGTGGGATTCTGCTGAAATGTCGTTTTTAAAGTTTCTTGCTTTGGGCTTCATGTCATCACAAGGTTTGGTGGATTGAAAAGCCTGCTGGTAGACTTTCCCCCGTGAGGAGAGAGCAAGTCGCGCGAGCAGCAGAAAACTGCTGCTCAAGGCCGAAGCCACTCGGGTGGGGTTCCAAATGTGTGGAAATGAGTTTTGTTGATTTCTGTCTGCAGTGTGGACCTGGGTGTGGGGCTTTGTGTCCATCACCATCATCAGCCTGCTGTCTCTGCTGGGAGTGGTCTTGGTGCCCATCCTCAATCAGTCCTGCTTCAAGTTCCTGCTCACCTTCCTGGTGGCGCTGGCCGTGGGCACCCTCAGCGGCGACGCCCTCCTTCACCTGCTGCCTCACGTGAGTCCGGGCGGCCGCCGCGCGGCGCTTTCGGGGGCCCGCCCGCTCGGTCTCCCGTTTGCCGAGCCTTTTTTGCTTTCTGTCGACAGTCTCAAGGGCAGCACGACCACGGCGACGCCGGCCACGCTGGCGATCTGGCGAGCGACTTTGATGGAGTGTGGAAGGGCCTGACGGCGTTGGCCGGCATTTACCTCCTCTTCATTTTCGAGCATTGTATCGGCATGTTTAAGCACTACAAGGATCAAAGGGTGAGACAAACCGCCACCGGGCCTCAGACTGCCACAATCGTCGCCCCAACCTTTAAAACTTGGCCCTCGGGGGGGCTCGCTCGCTCGCTCGCTTCATTCATCATCTTGAGTGGGGAATAATGACGGCAAAGAACTACAGTCATCCCTCATTTTGAACGGGGGCCAGAAAACCCCCGCGACGGCACGTGCGGTACAGCGCGGGCACGTCCAAAGCCTCGGAGTCACGTCAGCTCTTTGTTCGGCACGCGGGGAAACATCCGCTCTCGCGCATCAACAGCAAACATTGCGTCTTTCCGCAATTTGGCTGCTTTGGGTTTTTTTTTTTTTTTAATTCATTTGCGAAAGACCCGCAAAGCACTGAAGCGGCAAAACATGAAGCGCCAAATGGTTGAGCATTCACCCTATTTCATGACTGTCTGAATTTTCAGCTCTGTGGACTTGTAATGTTTTTCTCGTGACGTTTTACTTGACTGTCTTCGTGTGAAAACACATTTCTGTACTTTCTGCTTGACGTCAAAATCAGCGTGCATTCATGACTGTCTGAATTTTCAGCTCTGTGGACTTGAATATTTTTCTCGTGACTTTTTACTTGACTGTCTACATGCGAAAACACATTTCTGGACTTTCTGCTTGATGTCAAAATCAGCGTGCGTTCGTCTTTTGTCAAAATATAGTCCCAATAGATATAATATACAATCAAGTCTTTTTATTGTTACCAGACG